TTCTCGTTCATTTCATCTGCTCGATTGGCAGATCTTAAATAATTTCCAACAATGTTAAATATTAAGCGAGATATAAACATCATGTTTTATTTAAAGCGACGCAGCCTCGGTGCGACTGTTATTCTTTAACCGTCGTGCGCATCCCCCTTGCACGATGACGCGAGAGTTACCGGTTTAACATCCGTGTGTCACGGCAGCTAAATCGATTTCCTCTTTTACATATCTCAACGATTTCTTTAACCCTTTAATAATAGCCGCAGATCCAGTTATGTGAGTCTCATCCGTTGACCGTTTCTCGTAGACCGCTTCCTTTATCTCACCCTTCTCGAACATTTCACCAACGGTACGCGCACATATGACTTTGTACATACAATGTACGTCTACAAAAAGAGGGAAAAGTCTCTTTCCGAGACGTGGCAGCTTGTGAGATAATTTTATTAAACTTTCCCACGCGCCAATTTTATTAAAGCTTTCCGATCAAACTATAAATTTATCAGTAAACGATTGGCAGGAAAGTAAAGAAATGCCAACTGATTCGTCTGTTTCCTAAATTAAACCTTTTTCTATCATATATTCTTAATTCTATTTAGTCCACTTTTAATTAATTACATCGCTTTCCTCACTTACATATTATATCTCAGTTTTCTTATCGTTGAATCGTCGTTTTTCATTCCGTAATCTTTAACGCGTTGCGCTGCAGCGCTATCTCTGTAGACATATCTACGGAGTTTAAATTTTTCTTCAATATATACACTGAAAAAAAATTTAAGCTACCGTAGCTAATCATGGTTTGCTAAAAATATTTTGCTGCCGTAACTACAAATTTCTAAACCACAGCAAACGGTTTGCTGACGCACCTAATACAACAGGCACAGTAGCAAAATATTTAACTGTCACAACTAAATATTAGCTGTCCATATTTTACAACTTTCTTTCCGTGTATACAAATATACACTATTTAACTATGTACAATATAAATTACGACTTAAATTATATACATATATATAATATTGTATAAATTCTTTTCTACTGCAAATGATTATATATAAGTTGCAAAATACAAGTTTTACTATGCTGTGAAAGCATTTACCAAGCTGGGGGTTGATCTGGAGCGACCCTGTCGCTCAAGGTGCTGATTTTTGAGAACATCGACACGCGCCACCCGCAGCACGCGATATGCTGCTGATGGGAATTGATTCATCGACGATTCACGCGAGATCGACGTGAATCATTCGGCAAGAACAGTTAAATGAATTCTCGTCGACGCGCAGCGTCAACTATGCGGGTACCAACTAGCCACTGGGGGAGATTACCGGGGTAGATAATTGGTTAATGACTCCCGCTACTCTGATCTTTTTCAGCATGCTAGTATAAGCGATCGATTACTTCTCGTTCGGTTAAGCTGAGAACTTCGTCTATCGCCACGAAAGTCTCACGCGCACTGGTATAATAAAATTCACCAGAATTATATATTTAACGTAAAGAATTATTTAACGCCAGTACATGATTAACCAACGTAGAAAATTGCTAGACGACGCTTGACTGGCAAACTCTAATTCAAGAAGTTCATTGCGAAAAACCTCTTGCGAACCCTGCCTGAAGTAATATTTAATGAGTTTCTTTAATTAAAATTTGTCAGCCAAGCGTCGTCTAGCAATTTTCTACATTGGTTATATATTTAAATTCGAAGGAATAAGGACTGATCCGAATTTGGTCCTTACTCTATAGGACGAAATATCATATTACACAGATATTCAATCGGTCACAAAGTAACTCCTATTTATGGTATTAATTTATATTTTATAATATCGAGGATTATGTTTTAAGAAAAAATATTGGGAAAGAAGAATATTGGTGACAAAACGCATGTAAAGATTTTAAATTTTACAATCCCTCGAAAAAAATAGAATTTTCTTTTTAAATTCATCCCTTCCTTGGCTCGATCTCAAATTTAAAGAGCAATATTTAAAGAGCTGTAGTAAACATCTGTGCGGTGCTGGAAGAGTATTAAACACATGCAAGTTTATTACGACAATCCCAGGCATCTTTGTCATTAAAATTTTAATTTAATACAAAAATATATTTAATGCGGAAGTTGAATTGAGAAATTTTCTTTCCGGGATTACAACTCTCGCGATTTCAAATTGAACGAGATGTCACGATTCACGATTAGCGTAATATCGCGTTATTACTCGTTATTACTCGTTATTTCCGATAAGGCAGATGGCCGGAAATACAGTCCAGTTTTCTCGATGCGGCACGGGTAGTTATTTATGCAACACTTAGTGCGCGACCCGAGGGGCGGCCGCCGAATCTGGGGTGGGAAACAGTGCTTCGGCATTTTTGCATCCCCTGCATTCTCACGCGAGCGATACGAAATGAAAGGCTACCTGTGCAGGAGTATCATTTTTCAGACAGGTACGCGGTGCGCACGTGTATGACTCATTTTCATTGATTTGGTGGTGGTACGTTATTGATGAACGAGGCGCAAAGTAACGACTTTATTTAATAATTGCTTTTCTTGCTAAATTACTTTGTACATTTAGACGTACTTGCTACGCAAATATATTTAATAATATATTTATTATAAAAATGAATATCAAGAAACACAGTTGATAATGGAAAGAATGTGTTAAATTATTAATTTAAGCACCAAGTTTTATTTTAATCACGTCGTTCGGAAGTTTCCTTCAATTAGGCATTATAGAACTTTAGATATCGATCAGTTAAATTAACTAAATGAAGTTTTATTCTCTTGCATATTTAAAATAAAATAATCAGGTACATAATTTTAGTAAAAATATATAATATGTATATATATCTCTCTCTCTCTTTAGTCAATCAACGTAATGCATCACATCTTGTCAAAAAGTCTTTATAAATTTTAAATTATTAATTTTACAAATTGTCTTTTTGTAAATTCTAATGTTTTATAAATTCGCAAATGTATATTTTCTTCGGATTTATTAGCAAAAATTAACACCACTTCTTGGCTTCTTCATGCCAACGCAGGCAATTTAAAGATTCGCGTGGTTTTTGAGACTTCATAGCTTATTTCGCTGTCGTACAGTAAATTCGAAGGGAGAGCGTGCTATTTCTTGAACCCTTCGACCTCCCGACCCTCTAGGCTTTCCTGACCCTGATCCAGACTACGGGTGCTATTGCACACTCGCTTGGTTTCGTACATTTCTATACTCACATCTGCCTTATGTTCTCACGCTATTTTCCTTCCAGCTTAGAGTCTCCGAGTAACGGCGATGAGCTTTGTTATCGAGATACAAGGGGTTGAGCTAGTGTCCAGGAAATAAAAATATCGAATTCTTCTATCATGTCAAAGAAAGCCTGAATCTTTGGAATGTGGATTAATTGAAAATTATAAATAGTTCGAATATTATTTAATTAAAGAAAATTACTTTGAATTATTTTCAATAACGTATCTAAGCTCATATTGCATTTATACGTTTAATTATATCCAAGTTTTTTTTATTTTTTTTTTACCGCTTTTTTGTTACAATCCAATAGTTTTTTTCATTATATTTTGGCTCTAAACATCGTCAAATGACAATTTGATGGAAATTTGGTCACTCTGTTGTTTACCTGTGCAACGGAAACATTTTCTTTTTCGAAGAAATAAATGAGATAAGTTATAAATAATATTAAACAAAGACAAATGAAAAATAACAGGCCAATAATTATACGAGCAATGGAAGGCGAATGTCCATATGTACTTTAATATTTGGTGTATATTTTAAGCGAACGTTTCGGTGTCACAGCACCTTCTTCAGCGCAACTTAGTAAATTACATTAATATGATTTAAATAACACTTAGTCTAATATAGTTATAATAGAATAACCTAGGTCAGCGGGTAAAAGATAATTTCTCTCCAACACTCTAAGGAAGTAAGATCGATCGAACCAACTGGCGGTCAAAAACGGAATTTGTACAGAAGGAAAATTAAGGTATTTCAAACCGCATACCACATTAAAAACGGTGGATAAATTATCGTAACAAAAACAATCATTAGATAAATCGGATCCAATTATTAACAATTATGTACCAGACGAAATAACTATTTAATTTTAATTTTGCGCTGATGAAAGCACTGTGTGCCGAAACGCGTCCGCTGATTTATATTTCAACTGTAACATCTTTGAAATTTAAAATATATATTGCTTTGTCAGTTTTCGTGCTCGTTAAGATTGGCCTCATTTGTTTACTTGTTGTTTTAATAAATAAATAATTGTAGCTTTCATAAATTGTTGAGATAAGCGAAACTTATAACTAAAATAAAATTAAAGCAACAATTTTTAATAAACATGTAACTAAAAATGTCAACAATTTTCTCACTTCGATATACAGAGATTTTCAATTTTCTTATATACAGTTTCAAGGTTTAAATCAATGGTTGTACAGAGATAAAACAAAATTGTAAGATTCACCATTACTTTTTAATTCCAAGCCGGAAAAATCTTTGGCAGATTTTTACGAGTGAGGAATAACAGTTTTGAGCGAGGGACAGGAAAGCGAGAAGTGACATACCAAAGTCAATATAGATAAACATAACAAATAACACATTAGTTCAAATGTTTTAATAATTAATAAATCATACATAAGATTCGGGAAACTCGAACGTTACATCCCGTCCAGTCAGTTGTTTGTACACCGAAGCGAAAGTATCGACCTGCCGAAAGGTAGAGATGAAAATGAATCATACAATGTCAGATCAAAGTTCCATGCAGATAAATGGGAAACATAGCCTACTTTGCACCGATCATTTGATACGCGTATCAAATAGTGTATTTCAGTCGATCAGCCAATGACTAAATCTATTTACTAGTTATTTACTATTTCATACGCGTATCAAACAATCGGTGTAAACTAGGCCCATGACAACTGTACCTTGTGCTCAATATTTGTTTGTTCATTTTTGTCCAAATGAACTTTGATTACTTGCGAGCCGTCGAGTTTTACTCGAATTCGTTTGCCCACAATCTCGACAGGATAGACAATATCCTCCAGCAGAGCGTCGTACACCGAGGTCAACGTACGGCTGAAATAAAAATGAATCGTACAGAATTACAATCAGACTTCAAATTGAATGTTGAGTGAAGTATTGAAGATTACTTTAAATCGTATGCAAACGAACAAGAAAGTATTAATTTGTAGATGTTTAGTTTAGATAATTAGACGATAAAAATAACCGGCTTGGAAGTTATAATTCTTTTGCATGTCGCCACCGTTTTGTTTGATGATACAATCATTACAAAACATGGGATCTTTTCGTCGGTATTTGCAAGATACAAAGTGTTGATAAATGCAACACCAGCGACGTAATCAAATCACGCTCGTTCAATCCAGAATAAGAAACGAGTGTCGTTAAGTTTTCTCACCTCCTGGGACGCTTCTGCTTATTCTTCGTACGCGTTTTCCTCGTCGGCTTCGGTAAGATTTTACGTTCCCCGACGAACATGACGTGCTTGCCAGAGAACTTCTTCTCCAGCTCGCGTACTAATCTGGTCTGAATCTTTTGGAAGGCCTTCAGTTTCGGCATCGGTACGTATATGATGATAGACTGCAAGGAACGCGAGCAGCTCAGCGTGGTTCGTGGCGAGGATATTAAACAGGAGGATACACGAGGAATTAACGTTTACCTTCTTGTTGTTTGTTTCCAGCTCCTTCGCCTTGGTGATATGCAGCTCCCTTAGATGCGACTTCAGGTCGCTGTTCATCTCCAGTTCCAGAAGAGCATTGGAGATGCTCGCCTCGAACTGGTCGATCTCCGTCGCGCCGCCGCTCTTCATTATCTTCGGATTAGACGTGTACATCTGAAAAGAGATGAGATTTTGAGGTTAGCACGTTGTTTACCAGCGGACCCGTTCGCACCGTCCGCGAGGCGCTCGCCGGGCGACGTCGCGTAACAGTGTCAACTCCAGCCTGGACTTCACCAGAATTCTGGAGACGGTCCTCCGACGCGCGAACCCTCGTCGACAACGCCGGGGCGCGGCATTGTAGTGAACGCGCGGCGCGCGACAGCGGAGTCGAAATCCACCGAAATCGCGCAGTGGACGGGCGATCCGAGAGCGAGATCGGTCGTTCCGCGTGCCGCGGATTCTCCGGCGTCGCGCGAACACGGGATTTCATACATCGTCGTGGATTAAAGGGCCACGAGGCGAAACGTTCGAAAATGCCCACCTTGTCCACCTGACCGCCACATGGAAGAGAGCGCCGGGGTTAGGGGAAAGCCAGAACGAATCCTCGTGCGTTCTTCCGCGAGTCGCTGACGTCGGGCCCGGCCACGTGGGTCGGAATCCCTCGCGCCGCTTTAGATCCCGCGCACAATAGAAGAAATATTAGGAACTGGAATGTTGAATATTAAATTACATATCGTGACATTTAAATTCATGAGCTGGAATAAAAATATTTTGACCGTGTGACGCAATTCCCATATTTATATCTTACATTTTATATTGCTTTCGCAGTGTGTTACATTTAATATTTCTTCTTCTTTTTTCTCTGTTCTAAAAGTTAATATTTGTGAATTTGAGCAATACGAATTTAACATTTACTTCTCCACCCGATATTTCTTCAATGCACGGAGCCTTAGGCTAATATCACAGATTTCTATTAATCTGTGCTAATATTACATTTCACGACGGATTTTTCTCACGCGTCGATTGGCCGCGGAACGAAAAGGTTCTCTACGTCTCCGGCCAATCGACACGCCAGAAATATTTCGTCGCGCGACGAACAGGAGGTGCGTTCCGTTTCTAGGCTGCTCCCGAGTGAAGCGAGTATTTGGCGGTATATTTAAACGTTATCACGTAAGCATTTATACGCAAAAGTCTGAGCTCCCGGTCTGTCAGATTTTCAGTACTAGTAGTGAACGTCGAATCACATACTATTATTGCAGTTTGATAATAGAAATTAATAGAAAAAGTGGGCATTTGATGAAATTTTTCCCGACGGATTTGGCTGAGTTATAATCTGAATTATAATAATTTCCCTCATAATTCGTATTGTCAAACGGAGCGGTGTGAACGAATGAATTGCTAAAATGTGCAACTCCAATCTTTTACTCAAGTTAAAAGTAAAACAAAGAAAGTAAAC